TGAAGCCTCACGTGGCCTAATAAAGGTAAGAGTCCCCTAGACCTGCCATCTGCAGGGGGGCACGTCCTGTGTTTAACCTGTTTTAAGAATGAAAGCATCTTTCTATCCTGAAATGGCACAATCTTGCCGGTCTTTTCTTAGGCCTGTAAAGTTACTTTTTACATGTAGGTCTGTGAAGTACGGCCTTGTTGATTCAACATCTGGAACTACTCAGGTGGTTTGTCTCTGCCGACTTTATGAACAATAAAAGCAAACCACTGGATGATTCCTGGATATTTAAACTTGGGGCACATGCATCTTGGCCTCACCGCTGACAAACACAAGATTTTAATTTTCCCTGCTGGATCCAAATGCAACAAATGTGGTAGTGAATAGAAGGCTAAGTGTTCTCCTCAAAAATGGGCTACTTGTCTAAGATATAATTTTATAACTGTGGGGCACATAGCTCAGAATTTCCAAAGTCCTTGCAAATCTCAGGTCTGTCCCCAAGCCCAAGCACAGTCTCCCTTTAAAGAAACAGACTAAAGTTGATGACTTCCTTACTACAGTTTCTGCCCAAACTGGGAAGAAACCTATCAGACTCCCGTGGAGACTCCAGAGTCCACCGCACTCCCGGAACTGTTCCATCAGAACCATTTTTTATGACCTGGGGACAGAGTTCTCGGAAGTGATTTTTGAGCTGTTTGCAGCCAATATGCAAATTTATAACTATCCTTAGAAATGTCACCAGAATCAAAGAGAATGAGTCCTTGAGGCCAGGTTTGAGAAAGAAGAAACCAACTACACAGATTAAATAGGAAAATGTAGAAAAATACGTGATTTTGCTGTGAAAATATCACCTGATTATAATCACAATGGATTATAAGCTGATATAAAGAATACAATGTCATAATATTATCAAGTGTTAAAACACACGGTTGGTTAAAAATCTCAAAACAGAACTTTAAACAGGGGTCACCAGGAACAAGGCTAGCCCACTGCGCTCTGAGGAATCACCTTCATTTATCTCTGTATCCTCAGTGCCAAGTACCACGCCTGGTACACAGTAGGTACTACCGTGTGTTAAAATTATTTTTTATATAATTAAATTTAATCATAATAATTAAAATTAAACTACCAGTTTAATTTTAGAATACCAGTGTAAGTAATAGAGTTGTGACTTTATTGAGCAGAACATTTACCAAAACCCTTGCCTACTCAATTGAAACTTCAAAATGCAAACCCAAAGAAAGATCTTGTGGCCCTTCTTTCAACTGATTGGGACATAAACAATCCCTCACCTGTACACAGATTGTGTTCAGAGAGAAGCGACTTTGGAAAACAGTCTGGAACAGTCTGGAACTGGAGCCCCCTTGATTTCGCTCTACCCCACAGCCAGGGGATCTGTTCGGAATGTAGATGGTGCAGACGCTTTCAGCCTGACTACTGCCCTTTCTCCAAGGTGGAAAAGCTCCTGCGGGACCTGCCTCCCACCTAATCTGCAGCTCCGTTCCTGCATCTCCTCCACCCTCACCGTGCTCCCGGCACACTGGTCTCCACGATGTCCTTTCAAAGGTCAGCTCTGTTTTCCTCCATGGCCTTTGTGTTGGAGCCTTGGTATGCCAGTTTGTGTTCTTTCCCACCTCTCCATATGGTCAACCCCAAAGGGTCCCCACACAAATGTCACCTCCTTAAAGAAACCTTCTCTGACCACTCAGTCTAAAGAAGGCCCGGCCACCCTACCACATCGTCCTCACTATCTCATCATCCCGCTTATTTTCTTCACAAAGTTGCAGGGAATGGGCTCCGAGAAAGAGCAGAGATGGTGGGAAACAGGGCTGACAATATTTGGTTTGGGCCAAGTTTTACGAGGCCTCTGGAGTCAGCAATGAAGTTCAGAGGGTATCTGGAGAGCAATCTGGCATCAGATGGGGAGTTACTGGACCGCATCATGTTGCGTTGTGGACAGGAGGTGACACTGAGAAGACCAGAGGCAGGGAGCTCTTCTAGAAGCCACTGTAATAGTCCAGTTAGAGAAGGTGATGGGTCCACGAGGCAGTTGAAACACGATGAAGAATAGGAGATAAAGATGAGTGAAACAATTCCTGATCTCAAGGAACTTATCCAGCAAGGAGTGAAATACTGAAATAACTGCGCTGCAAAGCTCTGGAAGGGAAGAACTCCAAGAGGGACACCTCAAAGGAGGTGGGTCCTCACGAATGGTCCTACTTAATTGATGTCATTTCCTCCCTCCCGCTATTAGAGCCACGGTCTCATTCATTCCTCCTTTGAGCCTCATGACTTGTCTTCTCAATTTCAGTAAAGTTTGATTTGATTCTATTTTCTGTTTTTCTTTTGAAATGAGATCAGCTTCGAGATTGTTCCAACAAGATTTCAAAGTGAAACTTATGGAGGGGTAAGCTCCAAGCCTCTTAAAGATCTAGCGCAAAGTAGAAAGACTCTAAATTAAAAAAAAAAAAAGTATATTTCTCAGCTGCTGACTCTGATATAGAAATTTAAAAGGAAGACAAATAGTTATCATCAGCGCACTTTCTTTTACTAGATAAATATATGAACATAACTTGCTCTAGAGATTAAGTCAACGCATACACAGATGGCAGAGGGAAAACTGAAAGGCAACAGAATAAATATGGTTGGAGATAGTGATTCTATATGCACAAGGGGCACATGGCCAATTGGTGCTATTGTAGCACATGGTTGAATATTTGCCAAAAACATTTTTTTTTTTTGGATCCAGCACTTAACTCTTATTATCTGTGATGTAGCTTGAAAACTAAGTAACTAATCACTAGAGAATTTTATCAGTTGAAGCTCTGTTAGATTCAACTGCTAATTGCTTTCCATTCTATGACAATTATATTGCTAACAGCACTTTTAAATTGAAGCCATTGTGAATAAGCTTTGGCCAACAGTGGAGGTGGGAAGACACACAGCGGCAGAGTCAGGCAGGTCTGAGTTCTGATCTCTGATCCACTATTTATTAGCCACGTGACTCTGGACAATTTATTTACCCTCTTTGAGCCTCAGTTTCCTTCTCTGTAAGATGGAATTAATAATAACATTTATTATCACTAAGCAATAATATTTGTTATTATTATTAACATACCTTCTAGGGATGGTGTGAGGATTAAGTGAAATTTGTGCGATGTGCCTTGTACATAAAGCTCCTCCATAAATGACAGTTTCCTTTCCCTTCAGCACCTGAACACGATGATGATGCCCAGTGCCTCAGTTTCCCACTATGCGAGATGACTGCAGGCAGTGCGTTACTGTGGTATGGGGAGAAAGGCTGTGATATTGGGTAAAATGAGAACCAGGTTATAGCTTCTTTCCTATCCCTCTATTAGTGAATATTGCAATTGCCAAAAAATGTGCTGGCTGCCACTCTGAAGGCCATGTAATTTCTATCTTTTCCAAAAGTAGGAGTAAGTCAAATAATTTCATGAGACTTTAAAGATGTTGCTTATTACTTCTGCAGAGAATGAGAAAACAAAAGAGACAACATAATAATTAATTCAAAGTTTTGTTTTAATTAAGGTTCCTGGCACATGCAGCGACAGTTGTGGGGCTAGAGAACTTTTTCATGTCTAACAAGCCAAAGAGACTTTTTGGCTACACAAACCATTTATACTTAACACCAGTTTAATAGGTTGGCAACTGCCTTTTAATAAGTAGAAAGTATGAAATGTCATGGGAGAGTCTTTAAAAACGTGTGAGTCCATATACCTACCAAGGAATACCTCACTTTCTGTAAAGTCTTTTGTAGACTCTAAAGCACTTTTATTTGCATGATCTCATTGAATCTGCTTTATGCCCCTTTAAGCCCATTTAACTGACAAGAAAACCGAGATTCAAGAGGTTCAACAATTTTCCCAACTGATAAGTAGCAGAACCCGGGCTCCAAATCTGGTCTTCCAAAGCCCAGTCTGATGCTCTCACCACACAGAGGTACTTCTACGTGATCGCTAAGGTCACCGTTAGAAAATCAAAACTAGCACATATTGATTGACTGCGCTGTGCCCCCTCAAAATTCCTCTGTTGCAGCCCCGATGCCCGGTCCCTCAGGACGCAACTGTACATGGAGATGGGTCCCTAAAGAGGCGATCAAGTTAAAGCCAGGCTGTGAAGCTTTGCCCTAATCCACTCTGACAGATGTTCTTATATAAAGAGGAAATTCGAACACAGGGAGACGCTGGGGATGTGCTCGCACAGAGGAAAGGCCACGTGAGGACATGGTGAGAATGTGGCCATCTGCAAGCTGAGGAGGAGGCCTCACGAGAAACTGGATCTGCCAACACCTTGATCTTAAACTTCTGGCCTCCAGAACTGTGAAAAAATTAATTTCTGTTATTTGAACCCCCAGTCTGTGGTATTCTGCTATGGCAGCCTTAGCAGACTAACACACAGTGGTACCAGACCGAAAGAGAGCTTACAGCAGACTATCCACCCAACACTGATAAATGAACAACGAATTTAACCATAGTCTTCCAGGTAATTATATGCAAATAATAATTATATGCAAATTTTCACCTTGGGATATGAATCACTCAGGATCCAATCAGGAGTAATTTATACAAACAAAGTTTAATATAAAGAGTTATTAACTACAAGAGAGAATTGGAATAATGGGGGATTGGTTGCTAACGAATAAACGAAACTCTAAGGAATATAAGACTAGCAGGTACAGGGAGCCATCACTGCGCCTGGGGCCGGCGTCAGAGCCTAAGGAAGAGCCCCCACCCACAGCCCACCCTCAGGGCTGGGATGCATTTTCCTGGAGAGGGCACCGTCATGGCTCACTGGACAGCAGGGAGGTGGCTGTGGTGCTCCACCAGAGGAACATGCCAGAAATCTGCCTTTCAGGGTGCCAGGGAAAATACTTCCCAGGGTAATGTCACCAGAGGTGCTCCGTTACAAAATTGCTCCAGGGGACACAGAGGAAGCTGCTGGCTACTCAGTGCTGCTGTAGGAGCTGGGGACAGGGGAAGCCCCAGGCACCACGGAAACCTGGTGCTGGAGAAGTCATGTGAGGTGCCAGAGGTGGAATCGGAAGGGAGAGCTCCTTGCCCCTGCTGTGTCTCTCTAGCACCCTCTACTCACAAAGCGTGGTATCATGCCAGCTGGCCAAGGAAACATTGTTAAAGGATTCTACAATTTCCCAGAACAGGCAATTAAGGGTGAATTTGGAGCTGAGAAGCAAGAGATTGATCACGGGCACAGCAGGACTCAGGGCTGCACTGAATCTGAGATCTTCGTCACGCTCGGGTAACTGGAGTGCCCATAACCCACGCCCTAGACCAGCTTGAAAGCAGAACCAAAGAACTGGTTGGGGGTTGGTAGTTGGAGTCGCCCCTGCAGAGAGACCTAGAATTTTCGAAGAGCGAAGGAAGGAAAAACTGACGGAGGGCTATCTGAGGACGCAGGTTCCCATGACTGAAAGCTCTGTAACCGTAACTGGCATCTCTTGCCCCGAACAATGAGTGTGCGCTCCCGAGGTTGCACAATCTTTAACGTGACTCAACTGCAACTCGGCGTTCCTGGATTTTAATCTCCCGAACTTCCTTGTTCCTAGAGTGATGTTTGTCTGAATCACAGGATTTACAAGTTAAATATTTAAAACCTCCATCTTCTTGGAATGAGCAAGTACTTAGTGCCAATACGTTTCTTAATTAACTCTAAACTAGTTCAAAAATTAACTCTAAATGATATTTGTCTCTAAAGATTTTTAATTATTGAGAGGAAGAGAAATACCAGACTGCTCCAAACTTATAGTTTTAGATAATATGAAATTAGTATCTCTTTTTTTTTTTAACCCTTCTAGAAGTTTCTAGTTCCGCAAACAAGCAAGATATGGCTCCAAGAAGCTTACTTAACATAGGAAGACAATGAGTCAGAGCTCTGGAATGTGAGAACTGGATGAGACCTTGGAGACCATTCAAGTAGTCCTATCTTTCCTTTCACAGATGGGGAAACTGAGTCCTGGGGATCTTTGTCCCAAATCTCACGGTTACTGAACGGCTACGTTGGAACTAGATGCAAGGTCTTGCAATTTTCTCTAAATTTTCTACATGGCCACCTCAAAAAGAAAGCATGCTGCACCTTTCATTTTCTGGTGCAAAGCAGAAGAAATGCGGAAGGAAGAGAAGGAGAAAGAATCAAGTAAGTCCTGCTCCTTACTGAAACTGCCAGGTGCCCTGCTGGAATCCTCCTTGGGAGAGGTAAGCTGGAGAGAAACCCTTTTCCCTTCTCCTTTCTCCCCTGTGGCCAGTGTCTGGAGTGATCATATGCAAAACACTTGAAAAGTCTGCCTTCTAAGAGGAAACATCTGAAGGCGTGATCTTGTCTCAGTACGATGTAAGAGGCAAGAATTTGGATCATATTTTTTCCTTGTTTTGCTTTCTTGTTGTTTGTTTCTTTTCATATTTGGTGGCTTTGTTTCATTTTGGACATTTAGAAAGTTGGGCGAAATAGCCACTCACATCTAAGCAAAGAGCATACTCATGGTGAGAATTATCAACTAGCAATAAGAACACAGTCTTCTCAACTCTCAAACTTACCCAAGAATTTGGAGATGACCAGGATGCTCATTGGCTATTCATATTTTTAAACCATTGTAAATACTTTTTTCTGGAATCATGAGTTTTGACTTAGCCCTTTAAAAAGCAATTAAGGTAGGGGCGGCCCAGTGGCGCAGGCGTTGAGTTCGTGCATTCCCCTTCGGTGGCCCAGGGTTCACCAGTTTGGATCCCGGGTGCAGATCTACACACTGCTTATCAAGCCACGCTGTGGCAGGCGTCCCACATATAAAATAGAGGAAGATGGGCACAGATGTTAGCTCAGGGCCGATCTTTTTCAGCAAAAAGAGGAGGATTGGCGGCGGATGTTAGCTCAGGGCTAATCTCCCTCCAAAAAAATATGGAATTAAGGTGTACAATTTGTAAATACAGATGTGCTAGAACATTAGAGTATCTAACAAACATTATGTTTAACCTTCTAAGAAAAAGAACTGAATTTTCCTCAACTCCTAGACTAGTAGATCTTGGGGGAGGGGAGGATGCGATTTTTGTGACTATCTGTCAAGCTCTATGCCCTCATTCACAAGGCAATTAAGACCTAGTCCCAGTCACCTGACTTTTATGCAGACATTCAGCCAGGCAGAGGAAGGACCATTATCCAAATATGTGTGTTGGTGTTGCGTGCTCTCCCGTTGCCACGTTGTCCCCATCATGGACTTCCAACTTAAGATCTGGCAGACTTGGCGACAGAAACAGAATAGTTTGTCACCATAAAGTTTGAGGACTCCATGTTCTCCCGAGAACTGCCCAGGTCTCTTTGCTTTGGTTTCTTTTAGAGAAATAAACTGTTTGGGCACAGTAATCTTACTTAAGGAAAAAAGTTATTTGGGCCATAAATGTCCTGATTATAATGTAGGGAAAAGAATCTCCCACCTTTTTCACACTTAGGATAAAGATTCACAACGGCTGGTGCTGACGGGCATCGGGGTGGAGGGGGGATGGAACTGAATTCAGATATCAAAATTGAGATATCATTTCTATGACTTCAATGACGCTCCTTACATCTGATAACCTTGTGAGAGGAATTGTAGGAGCTTAGTGGTTTTGTAAAAGTTTTAAAATCAGGTGACAGAGGGAAATCAGTGAGTTTCCCACCATCCCTCTGCCTCACATATTTAAATATTTTAGTATTTTTTTCCCAGTTTCTTAAGGTTGGGGAATCTTTCGGAGGTTGCAGTTTTACTCCTCCTTTCTCATCTCCCCATTTTGGATTTGGACAGTAGTTTAGGACCGCATCTGCAAAAAAACAACCTTTCTCCCGGTACCCGGGACATCCGAGTTGCTCGTGCAGCTCAGATAAATGTGCGTCTCATTGCATGGGGCTGTCTAAACAGGCCGGGGCGCTGACAGACTGCAGAATCTTCCCCTCTCCTCCTGGAGACCTGGGCACAGGACCCAGTGGGAAAATGGACCCGAGAACCTTGTCCATCTAGCAGCCGTGCCAGAAGCACCAACTGAATCTGAAAACCACAGATTCAATTAACTAATCCCGCTCCTAGAAGTGCCAGAAAGAAATAATCTTGTCACTCCCCCTTTGCCAGGAGTCCTCATCCAACGCTCAATATGCTTTCGATTTTCCTAGAGCCTTCAAAAAAAGACATGTTATTGCAAGGCCACTCCCTGTTTTCCACATTCTTGACAGAGGTATGTTTTTCATACTCTCCACAACACTTTACTGAGGGGACAGTATTTGTTTTCCATTTCTGTACAGTGTTTTAGTTGGTCTCATCTATGTTTTCATAATTAATTGAACCTACAGAGCCAGATTCATTCTCGAGGGCACGGTGAGTAATTATGGCCCAGGAATTTTTTTTCCTGCTGAAAATATGTAAGATTCATCTTCCCATTCTTTTCTGGTCACCTGAGGGCCTCAGCGGCAGAGATATGAAATTCCATCTTGTGAAATAACACCAAAACTATTTAGCACCATTCCCCTCCGCACAGCGCTATGAAGACTGCGCTTTGTTACAAACTCTATTCCCCAATCGTACGAGCAGGATCTCAGCTTGAGACACGTGTTCTCCAACAGATGGTTCTACAAAGTGTTTTCCTGTCTGTCATTTGCACTTTTCTCCGTTTTCTTTACACTTTCCTATCACATAAAAATTGGATCACAGGCTGACGTATCACAGGGGCAACAGGGCACAACTGTGTCACATCTAAGATGGTTTCATGTGACTTTTATCAACAACAGCCAAGGACAGAAGGACGTTTCTTGTTACAAAATTACCTTGAGAGCGACGAGGTATTTTATTGGTCAAAAAAACTTAAGTGTGAAAATTACGCCACAATGTTACTACAAGCATATAGTCTCTGTAGAAATTTCAGAGTCTTCAATGGATGTGGTGCTGACAAAACAGAATTGAAGATTTGATTCGGGCACTATTTTCCCAGCAAAAATGCTACTTATTTGGAGAGTGGTTCCGACTAACTTTGAGGTCTAATGTGAAGAGAAAGGCTGCAAAGACAGAGTGAATCAGGTCGTCTGAAGGTCGTCTGCCTGTATAATTCAGCTCAAATCAACAGCTAACCCACTGTTTTATTGACCTTTGACCTCTGGGCCGAGACTTCCAGAATGTTCCCCTGCGTAGCGGTCATGCTGGCAGCTTTTGTTTACCTTCAAGTAGGATGTTTTGAGGCCCTTTTGAGAAATAGTGCTAATTTGTATGGAAACTTTTGAGTTGAAATTGTCTGTGGGTTTTCTGTTGCTTACAGAAATCTGAGCTAAAATCCCCTCGCCCTGCCACTTGGGTTGAATAACAAAAAACGAAGCAACCATATAAACAGACCCTTTTTATCGACGATAGGCCCCAACTTTTCCCTTCTTGAAATGTGAGTCACTGGGGCCTAGAGCTTATACCATAAGCAGAAACCAGATACTCTTAGAATCAGAAGTCTCTCTAACACTAATTGGATTAAAAATCATGAAGCATACTCCCAGACTGGAGCATTCAAATCAAATTAGCCACCATCTTATTTTTTAAAAATAAAGAATTACTGCCTTGTGTGTACATTATCATCACAAGTTAACGAAGGAGGTAGCATGACCAGAGCCTCTCACGTTACCGGAACTCAGTTGCCACAAAGTGCCCTCTTGGTTTTCTTTGTGCAAAAGCTGAGTGCGAATCTTAAAGTGCTACTGCTTCATTCTCCACGGAGGCAGCGTAGCAGAAACTCCAAATGAGACTTACAAATGAGAAAGTGGAGGTCCAAAGGTGGCGACAAGCTCAGGCTCACACAGTAGTTTGGCAGCAGCACCTACAGGTGAGACCCAGGTGTCCTCACCTGCTGTGTGTGCTCTGGGTACGTTCCCAGTGTTTCCCCTTAGACGAAGGGAAATGCAGTGATCGCTCCAAGTACGAGGGAACCATTGCAAATCCCAGGCACTGGCTTGGGTAAACCAGAGCCCTATGATCATCCTGGCCCGATAACACAGTCACGTGTCACTTAACCACGGGGAGACATTCTGAGAAATGCGTGGTTAGATGATTTCATCATTGTGCAAACATCATAGAGTGTCCTTACACAGACATGGATGGTACGGCCTACTACACACCCAGGCTATATGATACTGATCCTAAGGGACCACTGTCATCTATGCAGTCCATCATTGACTGAACCATCATTATGTGGCGCATGACTATAGTATGTCCCACCTTAGCTCCCCACAACAGCCCACTGATAAAGGAGAAATGAGAACAGAAGCAAAGCAAAGCAAGCAAGCTGAGGATTTCTGCTTCCGGTTAGAATGTAGGAGAATGGGAAAGACCTTTGTTCTTGAGATAACAAGAGAAACTTGGGCAAAATAAAAAGTGTGCTTTTCTATTGGGCTACCTAAGAGCCGTGGGATGCAAGAAACCCTGGATGAACTGAATTCTAGAGAGACGCGAGCCTCTCATGGGTGAGCAGCTTCCTTCCTGGGGGAGGAGTGGATCTGGGCACGAGAACATGGAAGAGGGTTCTGCCAGAATGGGGCGGGACTTTGCAGGGATGAGGAAAACTCAGCTGAGCCTGAGAGGACCTTGTGGGCTGGCAGGATGGAAGGAATCTGGAAGGGCCCCAAACAAATCACTCAGCCAATAATTCTCCCACCTATTCTACAGCAGCCCCAAGTTCGCTGAGGAGGTGGCAGTGGAAGAGGAGCTGGAAAACAGCCTCGGGTGCTTGGGTTCCGAAGCCCAGACAGAGTCTAATCCAGAAGGAACCACTGGCCTCTGGAATCGCAACTTAACCCCTTCATAGCTTAAAGACAGACAAGATCAGAAAGGCAGGCCTCTGGAAAGAAATGAAGATCACCTGAAAGTGTAAATAAGTGAATAAACATGAAAGACAATTTTTATCAATGTTTAATTTATGTAAAAGGTGATTGAATGTTTAAAGCAAAAATAATAGCAATGTGCTTATATGTTATAAGCAAAGGGCTTATAACATATGTAGAAGTGAAATATATGACATCCTAGCACAAAAGATAGGGGTACAAGTGTGAGTCTACTGAAAACCTTGCACTTGAAGTGGTGTAAGATTAATTCAGTATGTATTACATTAAGGATGCAAATTACAGTCTCTAGTGCAATCATTTAAAAAACCCAAACAAATAGGCTATTTTTTCTCTCCTTCTTTCTGGAGAGGAAAAGTGAAGGGATGTGTTGCCCAGATGTACCTGTGGGATGGAGGCGCTCATTCCCCCAGCTCTGCAAGAGTTGGCTACTGTAGCTTCTGGCCGAATCCTTCTCCAGAATTGCCCTCAGCCTTGGAAAGCAGTTTCACCCCAGGTTCCGTCCCCTTCCTGGGGCAGCCTGCATCCTATAACGAATTGACGTAGAGGGCGCACAGGTCCAGCCCTCTTGCCTTGACGGGGAGAGTCCAGCTCCGGAGCTCCCCATGGGACTGGCCAAGGCCTTTGTTGCAGCTGGATCACAGTTTAACCTCTCCCTCCGCTCGTTCCTGCCTCCCTCCCCTGTCAAAAGCGTTGGTCCTGAGACCACTCCCAGGAAAGCTCCTGCACACAGTCTGTGCTGGGGAAGCTGACCTGTGCAAGCTGGTCCCGGAAGTATGCTGGAACCAGATTATCTGCTGGCTGCTGCAATGAGGACCTCACCCCTGGTGGTGCATGCTTGCCATTGTGGGGCACTTGTTAAAATTTTCACTGGTGGTGAACTAGGACATGATCCCTGGCAGGAAAATGCTCTGATGGATTTGGGATCTCAGGCATTTAAGAGTTTTGGAGGACAGGGGGCAGGCCCAGTGGCATAGTGGTTAAGTTCGCATGCTCTGCTTTGGCAGCCCAGGGTTCACAGGTTCAGATCCCAGGTGTGGACCTACACACTGCTCATCAAGCTATGCTGTGGCTGCGTCCCACATACAAAATGGAGGAAGATTGGCACAGATGTTGGCTCAGGGCCAATCTTCCTCACAAAAGAAAAAAAAAGGTTTGGAGGAAATAATAATTATATGAATGGTGGAATCAGATGTTGTTGCTAGAAGCTATCAATTTGTTGGAGAAAGATAATGAAAGGCTAATGGTGATTAAACATCAACATAAGGCAAAATATGAAAACCAAAGGGCCTCCTTGGCAGCATATGAAGAGATCCCTGTCTTCTGCAACTGTAGGCAGAGACAGCTGGGAAGCAGGCCCTGAATTTAATTCTAAGAATAAAAGAGCTCAAAGAGCAATGGTCTCAACCCTGGAGGTCTGCTGTGCCAAGCTCAGGGCCCTGGTTGGAAAGCAGTAGTGGCAAGGGGACAACTGAGCTGAAATACTAAAACATCTGAAATCCCAGATCTCCCGGAGTTCTACAGACCTGAAAAAGGACCCCATTCTCTCCTTACAGGCTAGTGTCTGCCTTCACATGAAGACGATGATGAGATCTGCTTTGCACGACAATACCTCACTACTCTCTTCCATATCCCCCCCTTTCCCCCAGCAAATCCACTCCCAGCTCCCCTCCTGCCACCAGACTAATAACTAGGGTCCAGTCACAACATCTGGCCAGAGGAGTGCAGTCCTGCTAAAAGAGGAAAGGGACTATAGCCCAAAGGTGCTGTGGGACCCACCCAACACGTTCCCGCAGGAGCCAGGAGGGTACGTGTGGAGTGAAGGGTGAGGGTGCCGGACAGAGTGAGATGCAATGCAAAGTTGGATGGGGAGTCACACTGAGATGGAAACACTCTCCTTTGATACAGCATTTAACATCCTGGCAAGGGCCCCAGGAGGTGGAGCTAGAACCCTGCTAGGCTGGTTCCTGGTAGCTTAGAAAATGTGATGGTAAGTGAAGTAGAGATGCCAGATCTGTCATGACAGATGGTGGAGGAAGAGATCAAAAGGCTCAGAAAAGTGGGCAAGCTGGAGTGGATATACTACATAAAGCCAGAGAACACAACAGCTCTTGTGTTGCACAGAAAGGCCTGGAAGAACACTGCGTTTGCCAAAGCAGAAAGAATGCACTGGTGACAGGGCAAGTGACATGAAGAAGCTCAGTGGTGGCTCTCCCCTGAAGGTCAAGGATGCTGGTGGAGATCCTGGTACTGAACTGGGCTCCCTGGGAGCAATGGGGATGACAGAGGCCAGGAGGTGGCACTTACCATCCGATGCCAGGCGTGTGTAATTATTGTAATGAGCAGCAAGGTGAGAGTGGCAGCAAGAGGGATCTGACCCATAGAGAGCTATGGAAATGTTTAGAAGAATTTTCATTCTGAGGGGAAAGACAGACAGGCAGACAACAAGGGTATTGCTCAACCTACGCAGCCAGAATAAAGCAAGAAGGGGTAATCAGGAGGCCGAGGGCAGCCATCAAAATAAGTTAACATCCCATGTCTACCTTCTCACACCTGGAACAGACTGACTGGAGAGAGGCTGGGCCCCCTGTCCTTCCCTGAAAGGGACCTGTGGCCATTTATGTGGCTAACTATACTCTGAGGAAAGGGGAATGCTCAGATATTTTGAGGATTGTTGGACACAGGTGGCTGCTGACATTGACACCTGAGGACCTGAAACATTACTGTGCCCACCCCCATTAGAGGGGGAGAATATAAGGCCCAGAGAATAAAGTCCTGGTTAAGCCCCAGTTCACAGTAGGTTCACTGGGTCTCTACATGCCCCAGCGGTTATTTCTCTAGTCTCTGAATGTGTAATTGGACTGGGTACCCTTGGTAATTGGCAACTTCTCCGCACACCTGCCACATACACACACATTGATTGGTTCCTTGGCCTGTGGGGTTACAGTGATCACAGCAAGGAAGGCCAAGTGGAAACCCCCGAAATCTCATCTCCCTCCCCTGGCCAAGACAGTAAACCCAAACCAGTGTTTCATCTCAGGGGAAATTGTGGAGACTCAGAAAAACCTACAGAATGCAGGGGTGGTGGTCCCATCCTGCTCTCCTGTATGTCAGCAGTTTGGCCTCTGCAAAACCAGACAGAACCTCGAGGATTAATTCAAACTCAACCAACGAGTGCCCCGATTGCAACTGCGATGCCACATGCGGTATTTTTCTAGAGCAGGTGACATGGCCTAAGCACATGGAATGGAGCTATGGGTCAGGAGAATGTGTTCTTTCCCATCCCTGTTAGGAAGGAGAACCAGAAGCAGTGTTTACATGAGATGAACCACCATGCGTATTTATGGTCTTGCCCCAGTGTCATCTTAGCCCTCCCACCCTTGGTCATAATGTATTCTGAAGGGACCTGAGCTATCTGGCCTTGCACAGAACATCATATTTGTCCATTACATCAATGACACCAGTTAGTCAAACCAGATGAGCAAGACATGGACATTGGAGGCTTTGGTAAGACACATGGACTCCTGAGGGTGGGAGACAAATCCAGGAAAGATTTAGGGATCTATTACATCAGATCTGATTACATGATCATGAGAAATACTGGGGGAGGTGGGGATTGACTAGAAAGAGGCCTGAAGGAACTTTCGAGGGTGATGGAAATACTCTATACCTTGATTGGAGTGTGAATTACATTGGCGTATACATTTGTCAATACTCATCAAATCGTGTACTTAAGATTTGCAGTTTCACTGGATGTAAATACTTCCATAAAAAAGAAAAAAAGAAAGAAAGAAATGCCAAAAAATTAGTGTAGGCTCTCCACATTTTGAGGAATTTATGACTAGCATTTTAACAACTCTTCACTCTCCCTACCCCCACATACACGCCTTTTTAAAGAAATGATCAAGGAGGCCGTTAGAATGGAAACCACAAGGCTTACCCTGGATGCTCTCCCAAGGGGAAGCATTTCTCTAAGACTTGAAAGGAACTAAGAGACCTGCTGCTCTGGCCCCGCTCCTGGCCAATAAGAAGGACTTGGTTTATAGAGTGGTTGGCACAGAAATCACAGGAGAAAGCAGGTACCTCTTCTGAGCAGAGGCTGTAGGTTTAGGCTGGCAGGCCTCACTAGGTGGGCAGCGAAGCAGGATGACATCTCATGGCGAGGAGACAGGAAAAAGTGCCAGCTCTAAAACCAAACACAGTTGTATTCAAAGCACCTAATAACTGGGATTCTTGGCAAGTTAACTTCTCAGAGCCTCAATTTCTTGATCTGTAAAATAGAAACATCACTAGCTTCCACACAGCATTGTTCTTAAAGTTTAAAGAGACAATAAATGGTAAACCCTTTGCACAGTGCTGGGCACTCATAGATGGCAGTCTCTGTGACCACTATCACCATGACAGAGGTTTGGAAGGGCCCCGTGGTGGGTTCTGACAATGCAAACTCAGGAGGCCTGACAGGCACGCCACTGTGGGCCGTGTTGCAGGAGCCAGCGCTGCTGCACAGGAGTGACACCGTAGAAGGACCTTCGTAAACAATGGCAGACAGGAGCTCAACAGGAGACAAACATAAAAATGTCCCATGGGCCTCTGGGAAGTGTCACCTGGGGCCACAACAAATGTCAAAGACAGCAAAAAGTCTGTTTTAGTTTTGTTCGGAGCAAAGAGCTCAAGGGGAGTAGGGACCCAATTCTACAGAACTCTTCCAGTCCTTTCTTGCACCTGTTTTACTTCCTCAGAATGTTCTTGATCATGAAGAAGAAAGAACAAACAGTTAGGAAACTCACTGCCTCTAGAGTCAGAAAAGGCTGACACATAAACAGGCCTCATGGGACTCTGGCTAACTTTGCAGAGACTGATTCCAGGATGCTTCAGTTACTCAGAACTCGGGGACCGAGCAGCCTCTTGTATCTGGTGTGTTTTAGAAAATTTACAAATAAGTTCACAAAACAGCTCAGGAGTCAAAAGAGGGGTTTTCAAGTCAATTCACAAGATGCAGGAGGGAACAGGAGAGGCCCTTCCCCCGACCCCTTGGCCAAGTCTTCTCTAT